ACTGGATTATAGTAATTCGATTTGGTCGGGGGTCGGGGGAAACATGTGCCGACGTGAATGTGTTAAAACGGAAAGGAACATCGGATATTACATCATGACAGAAAGTCTCGAACGCCGATCGCAGTCCCCTTACACGCGAAACAAATCGGCTAGATGCGCCCTTATCCGTATAAAAATATTATAGATGCACACGTATGAAATGCATATCGCGAGCGTCTCCTTTATCACGCCCGAGAGATCCGCATTCTCATTTCGCGCACACAATATTCCGCGCCCCTTCCATCGCCACCTGTGTCCTGTTCCTCCTTTACCGAGACTCGCGGCTCTCTTAGCCACTATCATCGACAGCGTCTTTTCTAGGGAAACGCATCCACTTCGCGTCTTTTTCCCCCGGTCGCATTATAGGACTCCGCTTTCGAAACTTTCGAAGGCATCCCTTTTCTGTACTCACAGACTTGCGCGTCGCAGAGCTGTGTCCCGGGACGCGGCTCGTGCACTTAGGGACACGCGGAGCGACGGGGTTGTGTACGGTGTGTTCTTTGTAACTGTTATCGCAACACTTTGTTTTTGTAGCAATTGAAAACGAGATATTTGGAAAGAAAATTAGGTGGTTCGTGTATTGATTGTTACGACAGTCTTGGGTGGTTCGTGTGTATTGTAAAGCGATAGAGTTGGCTGGCTACTTATAAGCTGTGTAAATAAATAATAAAATAAATTTAAGATGCGTACAGGAACAATCGTTCGCTGTAACTCATTTTTAACGCTGGATTCGCAAATTTTTTGCTTGCTCTCTTTGTTGCGCGACTGGATAAGATATAATAACGTAATAAATATAATGAATATGTTATAATAAGTATAGTATAATAAATATAATAAATAACAAAATCCGAACATCGTAAGTAGACGCTTTCATTTGCCCCTGTGCGCTGTCAGCTAATAGGTAAAGTAAACGACACAGGTGTTACCATTTCTTTGTTCATAACAGAGATCAATGGTATTAAAACCAATTGTTACTTATAGAACGTCACGGTTCCTACTAGACGTCATTACCTAGTTAATCCCATTACTATCTACACTTTCTGATTACTCGTAACCATATCGGCGGTACATCAGTATCAAAAACAGCACGAGAACAAATGAAAACCGACCAACTAGACATTCCCTTCGCTAGCATTCTTATCTAAGACGCGCAACAAAGGAATCAATCTCGCACGAATCTGATCGACGAGAATGATTACTTCCACCCGAGAAATCCCCGAGCCGGTCAAAGAAACAATCGCTCAAAGTCACGCGAGGCATCGGCGTGTGACAGCGAAAGTCCCCAGACAACTGCCGCGACAACATAGTCCACGATTGCACCTTGTACGCCAGACGCATGGGCCGTAGGCCGAACGCTGGATGAAGTGGATGGTTCGCGGCGCGAACGGCTGGA